GCTGAAAGCTTTAATAAAACCTGTTCAATGGTTCAAGAGATTTTTTGCTAACAAGCACACACAGACAGAGGTACAACAGAGACTAACTTGCCCTTACAGTCATTTAAAATGACTTGTAAAATCTAAAAGCTCAGAGAAGTTGCAGCTTAGATGGAAAAACTGCAAAAACTGCAACAGCAAATCTGCTGCCAAGACAGCAACAGCTGCAAAATTGAAAATCAAAGCATGATAATAATAATGTGTATTACTCATTTTGCCTGAATGGTCTTTCAAAGTCTGTGTTTGCAGCCCCAGGATCAAGTTAATCCGTTTTTGTTCATTATAAATCCAGCTAATCAATGCTTTTCACTGAAACATCACCAGAGACTCGATTCCTCTCTGGTTCGTGACAACAAAAGGCGCTCTTCACGTGTAACAAAGCAAAAAAAAAAAAAAAAAAAACAGTAAGTTAGCAACAAGATATGATGTTCCATGACTGGCAGGAATTTGAGTCCCAAAGAAAATAAATAGATTAAGGTGATATAAAAGCTACTGTTAGCTCTGTAACTACACGAGCTACTGGGCCCGGTTTAACTGGAGTCGGTCGGAGAAGAGGCCTTGATAAATCACAGCCGCCTACGAAGTTCAACCTTGATAAATCATTCCGCAGCCTACAMAAGGTAAACTCCCTGCCACTCCAGATACATACTCCTTAAAACGGTGCTTAGGTAAAACAGAGGAGAGCTGTGCGTCAGGCTAAGCTTTAGTTTTTCCCCCTCCAACAACAGTTCATTACAGGCGCAGAGGTGCACCTGTTCTATTCTAGGCGGAAATGAGCAGCGACTTTTGCGGCTGCCTCTGCTGGGGCACTTCGCCACATAAACCTAAAGGTGTCAAAAATGCACCGCAGCTCCTCTAAACCGGGTCAAACCGCAGTGTGGAAAGATCCTAAAGGCGAGCACTTGCTTCAGGGTAACAGCCTCGATAAGGCAGCATCAAAGTGAGCCAGCTCACTTTTAAATACTAAAGTCGGATAAAGGAGCGGACTGAGCGGGGCTAACTGAGAAGCTAACGCCGACAAATGAAACATTTTTTTTTCTTTACAGCAGACAAGAGCCCGCCGTAGTTATGTGGTTGGGTTCACTACGCACATATGAAGACAGCGACATGTTTAACGATGATAACCCGACAAGAGAAACAGAACCAAAATAAAATAAATAAAATCCAAACTGACCTTGTTAGCGAGCTAACGTTAGCTAACTCGCGTCGCTTCTCCTCTTCTGCGCGGAGAGTGGCGAGGACTTCTCAAATGCCATGAAACACGAGCTTTTTAGCCCCGAACGTCGCGCGCAGATATTCTACAACAAAACATGTAGATGGTAAACACAGCTAAAGAACCGACTGATGGGTCTACGGTTCCCCGGCTCCACATCGTAGTGTTGACGGCAGGTACCCCTCCCTTGCTGCTGCCTCGCTCCTCTCTCTGTCCGCCTCACATTCAGGTTTGCAGGTTGAGGCCGGTCCTGGAAGCAGATTGTCTCCGCCTCTGTCACATTTGGACGCGGGCACATGAAAACTAACAGGACAAAAAAAACTTTAACCCAAGTCACCTCGTGATTTAATTCTCATCAGTTATTTAATATGCCGAGCTTGACTGAGGCTGCCTGCATCAATACTGGAGACTTAAACTGCTTGAAATGAGGGAAAGAAATCCTGAAAGGTTAATCATTGTAGATGCATCTCAGTGATCCAGGTAGAAAAATCAAGAAGAAAAACAACTGTTGTTAGAGGACATTTTTCTTCTTAATCATATTTGCCTTAATCTCATCCTAASAAAACTTCTGTTTTGGATTGATTCCAAAACATAATCAGTTCAAAATGTACACCCATTGATTGCTTTCTGAGAGWATAATTAAAATCCATCTAGTGGTTCATGAGATATTTTGCTGACAGAAAAACAGGATTTATGGTGCAATTGAATGGTAAAGTTTTAAGGAAATAGCCTATACCATGTAATGAGTAGAGCTAGTATGTGAAAAACATATTTTTCAGCACAATATCTGCAAAATGACCTGATTTGTAGTCATTTTGTGTATTATAATCTCAGCTCTAAAATGGATTAGTTGTCAATGATCTAATGATTATTTCCTGGAAGTTTTAGTAAAGTTCAGTTTAGTGGCTCATGCAGTAGTTTCTTAAAAGACACAGTTGACTCCAAATAGTTAAGGAGACATTTTAAACTAAGATCTTAATAGTTTTTTTTTTTTTTTTTTGTGCTCAGAGTAGTTGCATTGCAGTCCAGTGCAAAATCGACCGAGTTAAAGCATTTTTTGTGTTTTTTATGGTCAGCTGGCTGTGGCAACCATCTTAAATTGGGTTGACTCTGAAAGTTAATCAGTTGTAGATGGACAACCAATACTTTTTCTCAGAGAGTTACACTAAAATCTACAGTAWGTAGTGATTCATGAGATATTTTGCTAACAGACACATGAACAATATCACTCTGCCACACCTTTTCTACAGAATGTAGTAAACATACTGAGGATTTGATATGCACAAAAACTATTTGAAGACTATACAGCRAAAACCTTTATATCTCCATTTATTCAGTTTACTAATACAGTATTAGGATCAGTGTTCTTATAAATGTAGATGCATTAATCTGCTTCAGTTACTATGTTCTGCTGAGTTTTACTAAAGTCACATTTCTGAAAGAAGACAAAATAAAGCTTATGTATACTTTTCCCAACACCAATCACTCTTAACAAGTTGTTAAAGAACATAAATGATTGTTTCTGCTTTAAAAGTTTGTTTTTAATTGAGCCCTCAGAGGTTTTTCTGTACCCAGCTTTGGGCAGTGAAGTTCTTCTTTAACGCCTCGCCTGTAGCCTTTATAAATCAACTTTACCAATGAGGACAACTTCTTTCATGCACTTTGTTTGCTGTTAAACATAAAAATGTGTTTCTAGTGATAATTAAAAACACCAAACACAAAAATAGTCCCGCTTTGGTTTTTGGTTCTAGCGGGGGATGCTCTTTCGTTAGGGCGGTAAAATAAAASACACCTGAAGGGATCGTTCTTACCGTCTGTTCGTGCCTCTCAACACCCCCCGCAGGGCTCGTTATAACAAATTACACTGTCTACGTTTACGTGTTACTTGTTTACCGCGGCCAAGAAACTTCTGTCAGATTAGCTGAGGATCACTCACAGTCTAAAGGCTATATTTGTTCAGGGAGGAAGGCTGGAAAGATAAACAACGCTGACTTATTTTCTGTTCACGCAACAAAAGGCCATGTCAGTATTTGCACAGTTTTTATTATAGCTGACCACCCAAGGGGGGACAAAAACACATACTGCTGAATTTCAATGTACTCTGCTAGAGCTTGTGTCATGGCTGGTGATCAACAGCTGGATTAAAGTTAGGCGCCATATTTGACTTGCAACAATGTGCATTTGCGTCAGTGCATCAGTTCAATGAGTAATGCTTGTTTGAAGGGTAAAAGAGTCATGGGAGGAAAATATGTGAATATTTAAAGGTTCAAAGCGTTCAGAACTCAAGCACAAGATCATGTCAGGTGCAATGAGGACTCAACTAACGTTAAGTCTGTTGTTTGCAGCTGAATCTGTWTTACAGTCAGTATTGGTTTGCAGGTGTGGAGCCGTCAGGGACTGTGAAAGACTCCCTGTGATTAAGTGTCCTTCCTTTCGATGACTTACATTCCCCTTTAAAGCTGGAACAGATGCAAACAAAAGAAGGTGTCTTTGGGTGTGAGCCGATGTGAACAACTTCTTACATTAGCCTGCAGTGTTRTGGTTTTTAAATAGGGCATGAGCTCTGCTGGGAAATTTACTTAAAGGAAGAAGAGGGAAGTTTAAGAGGAACGTGTCCCAAACAGACAGTCATTGACAGGCAGCCAATGTTAAAGTAAAAAGACAGCTGCGCAGTAAAAAATAAAACCGTAATAAAGCAGTCATGATGAGATGCATAATGGGTGCCAAGGGTAAAATAATTTTTTTAACAAATGTCACATTTCCTTTATTTAGCTCACTTTTTGAATGTAAAATCCTAGTTTAAAAAAAATTCCACTAACATTTTATTGTTATTTAGCTCATCATTCTTATAGTTCGCTAATTTTTACTAAATGTTAAATCCCAATGTGTAAATCTAAATGTAAAAGTTAAATTTTAACAGTTGCAGCAAAATAATACAGCTTACATTTAAGAATTTCAGACTGGAACGCAGCCTTTTGCTGTTGGTGCTTGGCTTTTGTTATGACGTCATCATCCTGCAACGAAAACAAACGCTAACACTGCTAAATTTTAAATTTAAAATTTGGTTTCGGAGGTTTGAAGTGCAGYTCAGACATCGGCAAATGCAAGTTTGATGTCTTGTAGCAGTGTTAGCATCGATAGCAACATTAGCAATTGCTTTTGTTGCAGGGGGATGACATCATAAAGAATCAACAGCACTGGCTGCATTCCATCTGAAATCCTAAAATGTAAACTTTAACATTTAGCCCCAACATTTATATTTAAACATTTACATTTATAGTTAGGATTTAACATCTAGACATAATATTTAACATTTAAAGGAAACGTAGTAAAAATTAGAATAATAAAAGAACAGTGCGCTAAATAACAAATAAATGTTAGTGGAATTTTTTTAAACTAGGATTTTCCACTCAGAAAGTTAGCTAAATAATAAAAGTTATTTTACACATATATCCATKACACTACTGGATCATATACAGACTAATAAAACAAATACAATTTAAAAAAACTGTTGTTCTTTTTCATTAGTTTTCCCAGTTGATGTTGTTTCTGACTTTAGAGCACCGCAAAGATTTATGTGAAATAAACAGTGCCAGTTGCTTGTCGCATCATCATATATGAAAAATAAAGTTCGTAAATAGGTTGTAGAAAAAAACTGACTGGATGTTCATGACAGCCAAGAAAAGGGCCCTCATATTCTAATAACACTCTTGGCAGGCATGAGTGGGACTTTTAAGACATAGAAATAGGGCCTGTCTGTAATCGTTTACAGATCCGTCAGTCACAGAGTCCCTCTGACTCTTTGTTCACCCCTGCAGGGCACCGACATGGGGGAAGAAAAAAGAGCACCCGTGTCATATGTTTATGTAGAATAGATCGGTGGAAGATGAAACTATTTTGCCAAAAAGATTGTGCAAAGGAAGTTAGATTYAAAATGAGAATTAAGACAAAAGTGCAAATCGTCCACACATGAAAAGAATCATTTTTGTAATCATGTTGCACCAGAGTGCCTCTAAATCAAATAAATCAATCGTGTGTGAACGTATAAACTGTATCAGTAGCAGCAGCATGGTCTCCTATCCTGTTGTCTACACTGAAGACAGATGGGGTGGGGGGGTTTCATTGCAAATGCATCCCTCATCTCTCATTTTGCCAAACACACACACTTGTARGTGTACTAGACCATGATAGCCCCACCGCAGAGGGGCTTTCATGTGATTGCACGTATCAGTCTGACTCTCCATGTGTGAGCAAAGAGAAAAGGAGAGGATTAGGAATCAGCTGACTCCTCACATTTTCTTCCAAGTGACTTATTAGTGGGGTTATTCTGARCGGTCTGCTGAACTGCGGAGGGGGTTGTGTGAGTGGTGAGACCCTCGATGGAGCCAATCTCTCCCACAATAATAGATTACTTTCCTTTGCTTTCCTGCATAACAAATGGAAAGCTTCCTTTCTCTTTATGTCTTATTTTTTTCATTTAATCAAAGTCAACACTCTAACATGTTACTGGATATATCATTTGCCTGCAAGAAACTCTACTTGGTCTTTTTCTTTCCCTATCTTTTGTTTCAAGGTGATAAAAACTAGAAGGTCTAACCTTGCCATACCTCCCCGGTCGCCTGTTCTCACCTCTCAGCACAAACAACAGGGACCATTGTCATTTTTGCATGTTTACWCAGATAGTTGGCAAGCCACTGCTCTGTGAAAATGTCATTTTCTGTGTAAAAGKGGGGGAAAAAACAACAACTGATTATTTAGCAAATAGGTTGCCTCGTTCAAAAGCAATTAGAGACTTTTGGTTTCAGCTCGTCATATTTACACATATTTCAACGTTAATTAATCCCACCCCTGCCTTGCTGAGGCAAGTTAGCTGATAATTTGCAAATTACACTGCATAATTAATCCACCGTCAGAGACCCTAAGGGCAATTCCAGGATAATGGACAGTTCGCTGTATTTGACCAGTGGAAGATTGGATTACTCCATAAAAGTCCTTACAGCTCCGGAGAGGACTTCGTGCTCAGCGAGAGTCTGAGAACAAGTCTCTAATGACCACTGTGACAGAGGTAATACTTTTATTATCGGCGACAAACAGGGCTAATTTGGCTCTGAAACACATCAAGAGGACATCAGCAAACAGGCAAGTAATCAACTGAAGTGGCCACAGGGTGACCCCCGGTAAAGAGCTGAAGTCAAATCAAAACGCAGCGGCTGAATGGGTCCTCAATGGGCCGTAAATGTGTACTGCAACTTAGCATTTGCCTAAAATGACCTAAATGCAATCCAACGTCGCTGTAACAAGATTCCTTCACACTTCAAATGTTCCTTAAGTGCATTATAGGCACACTGAGCACATTATAATTATGATRACATGGCCACTTACCAAGTCTCGTTTATTTCTTATTTCAGTTTAGTAATTAAAGAGGTCAAAGAGATAAGAAGCAATTTAACTTAGTTTAAGTATTTATTGGAGCCATTCTAGTAGATAATATTTGGTTGGTCCATTATTTTAAAACCCAACCATGGGCTGAGTAAAGCCTCAACAAGACTACTCCATTAGGCTAAAGTTATTCAGTGTTTTTCTTGCAGTTCAAAGATATGTCTATATATATGTAAACTGGTGTKGCAGTCATGGTTTGGTGACAGAGTGTTCATCTGGATTCCATTACTCTAAGGCCCTGCTGTGTCATGAAGTGTCCCTGAATGTAAACCTCAATCTGCTAGATTTGCGTATTTCCCTCAGATACAAACCTGTTTAGATAAAATTATCTGCTGATTGACAAGTTGTAGGAAAAACTGAGCATTTGTGTCTAACAGCAGAGGTGGAGCCAGGGGTGGCCATGGCCATCATAGAAAAATCATTGGCCAGCTAATCGCCAAGCAAAAGTTGTTTTTCTGGGCCGCCTCTGTGTGACCACTATTCCCAGTCTGGCAGCTCCCATAAAAATGGTCTGGCTCCACCACTAAGTGAAAAAAGAACATATCACCATCTATCCCCCACCCCTCATGTCCAGATCACAGGTATGAAGGGAGCATTTTAACCTCTAATTAAGGCAGCACTCACAAGTGTATTAAGTTCATCAAGTTTGAAGCGGATACAGTGTGATGTAAACTGACACCACGTGCACCTATGGACAGCTCACATTTCATTTACACCCCGATATACTTAAAGTTTCTTTCAGGTAAAGGAATGATCATGAAAAAGGCACTGATAATACGATGTATCATATCCACTTGTTTCCATTTTGTCTCTGATCACCTCCTATGTGAATCAGCTTGTACGTCAGCTAAAAAACCCTTAAGCTGATAGAAAAAGCAAAGAAAACAGTTATTTGCCACTTAAATCTTATTGGTCGCCTAAGCTGAACTTAAGCTCTCATTTGTCTTCATGKTGGGATTCCAACAGAGATGCAGAATATGCTGGATGGAGGACATTCTGCCCAGAAACTGAACAGAAATGGATTAGTTTTTCTTTTTTTTAATCACTCTCTCCCAAAACAAAACTATTTCAACCTGCTGTGCTCGAACAGAAAACACGGAGAATTGCTCGTGTAATGCTCACAAGCAACCCATTGATTCGTTTCATTTGCTTTAAACAAGTGATTGAATCATAATCACTTTTAGTTTCCTTTCCTGGGTTCATTCAGCGGTTCTCTCTGAATACCTTGAAGGCTCCGATAGTTTTCCACTGGTGTCTAATGAGTTTTTTTTTTCTCCCCTTTACACCAGAACATAATGACTCATTGTTCTGCACTAGAGGAGCAGAATGATTCCTTCAAATGAACATAATAGATTCATTTTCAGATTACAGTCCTCATACCTTATAACACAGCTGGACCAATAAGAGATATTTGTCATTTTGAGGGTCGTTGTTGTATCTTGACTTTTTTATTTTAGAA